CTTTGATTCGGAAATCCGTGAGTCTATCCAGTTTGTCGATGGGTGACTTCGACCTCATAGAGAAGTTTCGAGATTTGAAGGTGACCACCTTGTTTGGGGGTTCACTTCTCGAGACGGAGACTGTGAGAGTCAGGAATGAGCTTATGGAGAAGATCCAAGAGGCGCAAGTGCAGAGAGAGTGTCTCGACTACGTGAAGAACCAAGACGGTGTGTCTTGGAATGAGGATGGACTTCTGTTGTTTCAGAAGCGTGTTGTGATTCCTCGAGGTCCCTTGACCGAAGAGGTTATGGCGGAGGGCCATAAGGGGCAGTTTATTGTTCATCCTGGTGCTACGAAGATGTACCAAGACCTGAAGAGAAATTTCTGGTGGCCAGGAATGAAGAAGGACATAGCTGTGTATGTGTCCAAGTGTTTGATCTGCCAGAAGGTGAAGATTGAACACCAGAGGCCGTCTGGTAAACTTCAACCTCTTGAGATTCCAGAGTGGAAATGGGAGAGCATTTCCATGGACTTCGTTGTGGGTTTACCGAAGACTCAGGTTGGCTGTGACTCGATATGGGTCATTGTGGACAGATTGACAAAGTCTGCCCATTTTCTTCCAGTGAAGGTGAACTTCACTACGGAGCAGTTGGCCAAGCTTTATGTTCGCGAGATCGCCAGAAGAGCTACTACGATGTCAAGCATCGTCCACTGGAGTTCAGTGAGGGTGAGCACGTGTTTGTGAGACTTTCACCTATCACGGGTGTTGGACGGGCACTCGGAGTGAGGAAGCTGAGCCCGCGGTTTATTGGGCCATACCAGATTCTTGGTAGAGTAGGACCTGTTGCCTACCGGCTTGCCTTGCCTCCGAACCTGGCTAACATCCACGACGTGTTTCACGTGTCTCAGCTTCGGAGGTACATAGCAGATCCGTCGCACGTGGTGCAACCGGATGATGTGGAGGTTCGGGAGAACCTAAAGACTCCAGTCGGACCACTAAAGATTCTCGATCGCGGCGAGAAGCAGCTGAGGAGCAAGATCATTCCGATGGTCAAAGTGCAGTGGAACGGAAGGACTCCTGAGGAGTGTACTTGGGAGCGTGAGGACGAGCTTCTCCGGCAGTACCCCGAGTTTCGACCAGGTATGTTTCTGATTTTGAGGTCAAAATCCTAAAAAGGTGGGGTGAATGTAAGAACCCGCACCGTTAATTAAGGATTTTAATTAATAAATTATGAGAAAATAGGAAATGATTCCATAATTGACCCTAATAATTATTACGAGGCTTTAATAATTATAGCAAGTGAGTAATAATGCTGAAAGTCGCTTTTCGGAAGAAAAGTGCAGATACCGGTTCTGCTAGTCGGTATAAATGCGTGGCGAAAAAGTATCCCGAAAAATTATAATAAGTGCATGATAATTACAAGAATAATATGTAGGACTTGTAAAACGAGTTTCAAGTCCAAATAATGAGAACTGGTGCTAGAAACCACTATTGGCTTTGAAAAGCGCGTATCGAAAAGGTGCTAAGAAAATTATAAGAAAAATATGATAATTCTTGGAAAAATGTGTAGTTTCAGATTCCAAAGTTTGGGATTAAAATGCTAAGTGTAGCAATTAAAGTTAATATTGTGTGTTAATTGGGTAAGTGGCTATAAATACCCTTATTAAGGGCACAAAACCCTAGAAAACAGTTTCTCTACGTGAGTGTGAGACTGGTCAGCTGCTGGTTCCACTGTTCCATTGCTTAACCACCATTTTGTGAGCCTTGTGACCTATCTTCTTCATTTTCTCTTCACTTTGTACCTTGGGTAAGTGGGAGAGATCATTGTGAGTGTGAAATGAGCTCTTTTCCTGAGTGTGGTGACTGTGTGGAGGCTGTTTGGGGTCTGAACTGCCTTGTGTGAGTGTGTGAGCTTCTTCCTTGGGTTGTTGGAGCTCCAAGGAGCAATCTTTGTGAAGAAAGATCATTGCTTGGGTGGTATTTTCGTGCACCCTTGAAGTCAGAACCTTGAAGCTGTTGTGTGAGCTCCAAGAGCACCCTTTTTCTGAGTTTGAGCTTTGGTAAGCTTCATCACCTTTGATCATGAGTCTTTGAGCTTAAAAATGGAACATTGATGCATGTAAAGGTTAAAAGATGATAACTTAATGTTGAGGTTGGTCAAACACACCTAGAAATGCATGTTTAGGTGTTTAAAATCGGTAAAAACCCAACCTTGGAAGGATATCTTCACGAAATGCAATTTCTGCATTCAAATATCCGGATATGTGCCCGAGAAGTATCCGGATATGTGATATCCGGATATGGAATTTGGACATCCGGATATTAGATATCCGGATATGGGAATCTGGATATCCGGATATTGTATATCCGGATATGTACAGTGAAATATCTGGATATAGCATATCCGGATATGGTCCCGAAGAATATCTGGATATTCTGGGATTTCGTAGAACAATAGTTGTGTTGTGTGTACAGTAGGCTATTGGGGGTTTGTGGACCCTAGATTGATGAAGTTGAACTTCTGTAATTAATGAACTAAGTCAGAATCGTATGATTAAGGGCTTATGGCTTGGTATGGAGCCTTAAGACGTAAAACGTAAAGGAAAGGCGTTGTCTTAATATTATATGCTTGTGGTGCATTATTGTTGATATAGTATTGGTCCATAACAGATTGTGAATCTGCTGTGTTTGGACTTTGAGCTGTGGACTCTTGGCTTTGGGTGTTAGCTTGCAAGGTAAGCTTTTGTGTCCTCGGTTTAGCCATGTTGTGGTTCCACCATGTCCCATGGGGGTGTGGTTTTATGCATGCGGTGTTACATGCTTTGAATATTCGAAATGCTGTTGAGCTTTATGTGTAATGGCTTTTAATATGCATGTGTTGTTCCATCTTGACGGTAAGCCTGAGTATGTAGCGTCATACAAGACGGTGATCCGGGGTGGATGCAAGTAGCGTCTTGCACTAGTGTGGGTATTTGGCGTATGTAAATCCTGCATTTCTCTGGCCAGTAGAATAGAATTGACACACATGACATGATTATCTGCTGCATTGCACTATTTTAGAACTGATGATGATATCTGTTTTTAAACTTATATTGCACATGTAAGTGAGCTTGTGGTGGAAGATCCTTGAGGACCCTTTGTCTTACTGAGATTTCTTATTTAGAGATCTCACCCCACGTTTGGGGAATGCTTATTTCAGGTTCCAGTAGTTTGGTGACTGATGCCTCTGCGGCAGGAGGCCAGAGCTTAGTTGATGTTATTATGCTGTATTGCTGCCATGACTGGATATGGATGCTGTTTATGTTTTCCGCTATTTATGATTATGTTGTTGTTGAGACTGATGTTGGGCGTGTTGCCTTATTTGAGTGAGCATGAGGATTGTCCATGACACTTTATGTTAGTACTTTTAGATTGGAGTTGTATAAACTGTTAGATAGTCTGGTCTACGTTGTTGTAGTTCCGTGACTAGAGCCACACTTTTATTATATATGTTATGAGGTATTTTCAGTTAGCTGTTTTAATGCAATTACATACCGGCGATGTTTTATTAATTGAATAATAAGCAAGTTGGTAATGTTAATGACATCATAATTGAAAAGAAAAAGATATTCCGCATTTTTAATTAAGCGCTGCTTAATACGATAGTATGATAACATTACCGGATATATACGGGGTGTTACATCTGCCTGATCAAGCCTGTTACCTGTTATAAATATAATTATCGGCCCGTAGCCTGACTTATTTATAAAAAATAAAAGCCTAGTTTAGTCTGTTTAAAAAAAACATTTATCCAAACAAAATATACAATCAACAACAATAATAATTCTATAAATATTCATAAATTCAATATATCCAAACAACATAATATAGAATAAAATCACTCAAAAACTCTGTTTAACCAATAAAATGAGGTGAAATGGATTGAGAAGAAAGTGAAGGCTATTACAAGTAATATAAAAAATAATAATATATTAGGCCAGTTTGAGAGGCTCTAAGGTCGAGCTTTTGAATTGGAACTTGAGGCCTTTTTATTAAACGAGCTTTTATACAAATTCAAGCCTAGTGCCAACAACCAATTTTAAACATGTAAGTTACCTTCACGAGCCGAGCCAAAGACCCATGGTTCGTTTAGCACCCCTACGTGTGAGTTATCAATTGTTACCTATTCATACTTTTTTTAGAGCTTCATCATCTTTTCCCCTCAAAATTTGGGATAAGATATCAAATTAAATTTTATCTTGGTATTTTTTTTCATAAATAGAAATATTTATTACATGTATCCTATATTTGTTAGATGTAGTTATTATTATTATTATTATTATTATTCAAAATTATGATTATGGTTTAATCTCTCATTTAAAATTGTCAGGATTTATTGGAACTCTGTTTTATTACTAACTTCATAAAAATGTTCTTTATGATGATAATTTCTTGTTTGTAATATAAAAGTTATTTTTTAAGTTAGGAGGGATTTTTTTTTTAGTACACTCTCCGCTGCCAATTTATTTTATAAAAAATTACAAATTACTTTAATCTAAAATGAGGGAATGTTTTTAAGTAGGATGTTATATTGGGATAAACGGGTATTTAGTGGATGGATAAATAAATAAATTATACCAATTACTTAAATTGATTGTTTATGAGATCAAAATGTAATATTCTTTGAAGATACCCATATCAATTTTTTTTTTTTTTTTTTTTGATAACACATATCAATTTTTTTAAATTAACACAAGTTAAGAAATAAAAATATTATTTATTAATTATCTTAATTATTTCTTAATAAAATACATTAAATTCTATTTAAATTTTTAATAACTTAAACATTTATACCACATGCCACGAAAAAAATAATCCAAGAGAACGTCAATAAAAATATCTTTGTAATCTTCCCAAACGCAAACCAAAGGCAAAATACACATTACAGGGTCGTATGTATAGTATTCCGTATTCGTATATTATAATTACAAATACACACTCCTCTCTCTATCTCGCTATCTCTCTCTCTCTCTCTCTCTCTCTCTCTTACGAATAGAAAATGAAAAATGAAAGCACAAAGGAGCGATTACTTCCACTTCCTCTGTGTAGTTTAAAACCCTAATCATCGATCCCTTCGGCGTTTCTCTCTCTACAATCTGAATCTCTCTCTCTATCTTTCTAGAAGCTTCGATCTCCGATTGCTGAATCGAATCCGCAGATCCGCCGGTGGCTCATAGCTTTCGATTTCCTCGCGGGTGGGTTCGATTCGGGTCCGTTCTGGCGGGTATTCGGGTCAAGTAAATGTTCCGTCAAAGCAGAGTGATAGGGTTACAGTGCTGTGACGATTGTTATTGTTGTTGTTGTTATTGTTTCGAAGAAGAAGAAGAGAAGAAGAGTGAAGCATGCTGAACGTGCTGCGGGTGCACCTTCCTTCTGATATTCCCATTGTAGGCTGCGAGCTCACGCCGTACGTGCTCCTGCGCCGCCCCGACAAGAACCTTACTACCGATGATGTTCCCGAGACCGCCCCCTTAGATGGCCATTTCATGCGTTACAAGTGGTTCGTTGCTTTTTTTTTTTTTTTTTCGATTTTTGTTTTTCTTTGCTTAAGAAATTGGTTATCTTCGAGTTTATGAGTGTTGGTTCTGTTTTTTTTTTTTTTGTTATTGAAAAGAAAAAAATGGGTGTTTTAGTTCTGATTTATGTAATTTGTATTTGAACATATATGAATTGTAGTTCATGTATTTAGTGTTTCATATTAGCTTGAAAGTATTTGTTTGTTTCATTCTTGGAAAGTTAAGTTCCTTTGCTTTATAATTCTAATGATTAAAAAAACTCTTTTCGTGTATAAAGGTTAAGGAGAAACAAATTTAAGATAGGAGGAAAGCTCATGCCACACATTTTTAATTGAATGAAGTATTAAGTGCTAAGAGCATGTAGTGTTCCGTTAACATTAAGAATCTCTCCTGATTGTCCTGTTTTGGTTGCATTTTCAGGCATCAGGATATTTTATGTTCTTTCTTTTGTAAATTATTTAACGGTTTCATTGTTACTAATTCGTGTGATTATTCATGTATTATCATGACAGTAAATCGCCAGTACTGGGTTGCATTGATAATTGATTTATGTCCTGTTTATTCAGTCTTCTCCTTTATGGCAATATTCTCGTGCACAAATTTGCAATGTTATATTATCACACCACATTTGATGTTTTGTTCGTAAACTTTTTTTCCTGGATTATGGGATACATATTCCTCTAACGTGTCTTTTCAGATAATTGTGTTTAATAGTGAAAATAACATACTAAAATTTATATTATTTGCATAGAATTTAAGTTAATGATGATATTCTACTTCTATTATATATTGTGAAGTGGATATTTGGTAGATCATCATCCTCATCCTGGTATGTGAGTATTCTCTGTTATTCAATCCTGATGTCTGGTGTGGCAATTTGATGTATTTAAAACTATGCGTAGAATATCCAAGAACACAGGATTCCTTGATAACCAAAATTTCCATGATATGGCCTGTTGTATCTCAAATAAGCATCCAAGATATTGGGGTGTCTTATGTGAAGAGGCGGACACACCAACTGCCTCTGAAGAAGCAAAGCGGGAAGTATTGTTGTATCCAACTTGCATATGTAGCATCGAGTCTGGTTATTATTTTTGTGGCAAATTTTGTGCAAAATAAACTTTGTATTTAGCTCATGATTTAGCATGATTTGTAGCATAGTGAGTTAAGATATACATGTTTCGCGTCTGATCTTCATGCATAAGTGTACAATTATATATATGTAAATTATAAAGTCTGTTCTTGTTTAGGAGACTGTGTTACTACCTATTAACATAACTGGTATTGATACTTGGTTGGACCTGTTTGGGGACAAAACCAGTATTAGATAGTTTGAGTTCTTTTGGGTGCTAGGATATGTCCTTTTGTGCAAAAACTATATAATTAAAGGCTGCTCAGCTTTTATAAATGTATTATATAGATAATTCTTTTGTGTCTCATTTTCTATCATGATGCATGCAATCCAATGCCTAAATGGAGACATATATAACTTCAGTATTGTGACAGGGGTTTTGTCTTTGGATGTGTTCTGTAATTGTAGTAACCCCTTTGTATCATGTTTTGGGTTAGATGGTATGTTCTGGATTTCTTAATTTGTCACTTTTTAATGATGCACATATTCGTTAGCTCATCGTTATATCGAGTAGATTAAATATCAAATTTGATCTCAAGTATACTGCTTTAATATACTTCTCTATGCTATTAGAAACTGGACTTTTTACTTTGTTTCACACTATATCATTTGGCCCTCATTTTTGGCAGGTATCGTGTACAGAGTGATAGAAAGGTTGCTGTCTGTAGCATACATCCATCTGAGCAGGCCACATTGCAGTGCCTAGGTTGTGTTAAGGCCAAAATACCCATTGCCAAAAGCTACCATTGCACTCCAAAGTGTTTTTCAGATGCCTGGCAGCATCATCGTGTCTTACACGACCGTGCTGCAAGTGCTGCTAATGAAAATGGAAAGGAGGAGGACGAGGTATTTGGGCGATTTAATAGTTCAGGGTCTGGAGTAGTTACTTCGAGCTTATCTGCCTCTGCATCAAGTGCTAGCTTGACGAATGGGTCTGCAGCACCTTTGTATCCAGCTGCTATCACACAAAGAAGTGGTGAAACTTGGTTTGAAGTTGGGCGATCTAAGACTTATACCCCAACTGCTGATGACATTGGTCATGTCCTTAAGTTTGAGTGTGTTGTAGTTGATGCAGAGACAAACCTGCCTGTGGGGCATGTTAACACTGTAGTAACTTCTTGTGTCATTCCTGCTCCCTCGCCTCCTCCACGCCGGCTGATACCTGTTGATAAGATTGGGCATTTAGATGCAGATGGGCGCGTGACATCTTCTGGAACTTTTTCTGTTCTATCATATAATGTATTGTCAGATTCATATGCCTCAAATGAACTATACAATTACTGCCCATCATGGGCTCTTTCATGGCCATATCGCAGGCAAAATTTGTTAAGAGAAATTGTTGGCTACCGTGCTGACATTATTTGTCTTCAGGAGGTACATTAACATGTTCTTGGTTGTGATTTTTGTGGTTGAAAAATTTGATTAAATAACTTGGCTTCTCAATATTATTTCCAGACTTTTTCTTATCATATTGGTGTTAAATTAATTTTTTATTTATTTCACAGTTTTGAAGTCATCTTTAAAGTTAAATCACAGTTGATTTTTATAAAGACTTGATTATGGAATTGGGGGCACCAAGCATATCTGTCACTGGTAGCTTATTCTAATATTTTGAAACTTGAATTGCTACCAGTTGTAAATGAGAAACATATTATTTGACCTTATATTCTAATAGCTTCTGTATCAGCTAACACAACCTTTTCCCTCTAGGTTCAAAGTGACCATTATGATGAATTTTTTGCTCCTGAACTGGACAAACATGGCTATTATGGGCTTTACAAGAGAAAAACAAACGAGGTTGTTGCAATATTTTGGTTTTTGTGGTCATAATTCACAAAATTATTTTTGATGTTAACATGTTTATTGCGGGTTTGCAGGTATACACTGGCAACCCCAATACAATTGATGGTTGTGCGACATTTTTCCGTAGAGACAGATTTTCACATGTGAAGAAATATGAGGTTGGGAATTGATTTTTGTGTATACCGTTCAATTATGTCTGTAAACAAATTAGAATGATGTGCTTGGATGCAGGTTGAATTTAATAAGGCTGCACAGTCTTTAACCGATGCTATGATTCCGACCACTCAGAAGAAAACTGCCTTGAATCGACTGGTTAAGGTGGCCTTATTTCTCCAAAGACTACATTTTACATTTTGTGTTTTGGAAAAAATGATTGTCTCGTGTAAATGTTGCTTACCAAGTTGTCTCTATATTCTTAGGATAATGTTGCACTAATAGTCGTTCTAGAAGCAAAAGTTAACAATCAGCCAGTTGATAATCCTGGAAAAAGACAGCTTCTTTGTGTGGTAAGCTCTTTTGTGTTGCTATGGTTTATGACCTTTAGGTGGCCTTCTCTGTTCATGTCTTCACGATCTACGATATGTATTTTATATTTATTGTTCAATTTTCGTTGTTTATACCTTTTGTTTATTGTCCCCAGTACCCTGATTTTAGTTGCATTATTTGTTAAATACTAGGGCCTTATCTAGTGCCATGCTTCATGGATGTTGATTTCTTAATTTTCCATTGTCATTAGTGTTCATTGTCAAGTATCCGATAAGGGCATAAATATATATTAAAGCAGTTTTAGGTTTTGAACTTTTTCCCCAGTGACTATTGTGGCTTCTAATCTTGGTGATGGTTGTTGATCTGGCGTGAAATGTTTCTAGATGTGCGGTTTCAGTGTTTTTTGAAAACCATAATTTGGATCTTCCTCTAATAAAGATAGACTGTTTCTGCCTATCCCTGCACCCGTTTTTGGGTTTAGGTCAAAACAGCTTTTTTGGTATTCTACTATTGACTCAAATATTGGATGTGGATTTAGGCAAATACACACGTAAACGTCCTCCAAGATTTAAAGGATGTCAAACTCTGGCAAGTAAGTCATTTCTTTGGTTTGTTTATATTGAACAGTATGTTTTGTATGTAACAGTTACTAATTTCTCCCCTTTCTTTAGGTGCATACTCTCTTAAAGGGGTTGGAGAAAATAGCTGCAAGTGCAGACATTCCAATGTTGGTTTGTGGAGATTTTAATTCAGTTCCGGGAAGGTTTGGTGACTTCTTTTTTTTTTTTTCAAAATAAATTATTATTTTTATTTGGTTAGGGTCTTGTGTTAGTGTCAGTAATTTGTGTGTATAAAGGTTATTCTGAACTTTGTTGCAGTGCTCCTCATGCACTTCTTGCAATGGGAAAGGTAGATCCCTCACACCCCGATTTAGCAGTTGACCCACTTAGTATTTTACGCCCTCACAGCAAGTTGGTTCATCAGTTGCCACTGGTAATATATTCATTAAAGTCCATCTCTTAAAGGAGTAGCTTATTTAAAATATGATTTTTTACTCATTTTATTTCTGTAGTTTTCTCCTTAAAATTTTGCCCAAGTTAATTTATTATTGGTTGTGTGTAACTTAAAATTTTAGGTCAGTGCATACTCGTCTTTTGCAAGAACAGTTGGCCTTGGATTTGAGCGGCATAAAAGGAGACTGGATGGCGGAACAAATGAACCTTTATTTACAAATGTCACTAGAGATTTTATTGGCACTCTAGATTATATATTTTACACAGGTGAGATGTCTTGCAGTGTTATATCATTTTGATAAATTTAATATGTCGGTAACTTTTTTATGAAGTGATGTGGCTTATGGTTTCAGCGGATTCATTGGTTGTGGAATCATTATTGGAGTTATTGGATGAAGAGAGTTTGAGAAAGGACACTGCTCTTCCTTCACCTGAATGGTCCTCAGATCATATAGCTCTCTTAGCTGAGTTTCGCTGCTGCAAGAATAAATCTAGGCGTTGACACTTGATGGTAGGCACTATCTTTGCCCCCTTTCGTTTCCCATAATTTTTTTGGCTTGGTTGTCGTTGGATGTTGTTAAAAGGTCAGCTTGTTTAATAATCATTGTATGGAGAGATGAATGGCTGTAGGCATTTTCATTTCTTTTGTTATCAATTTATGGATGGCTTAAGGTTTATGTAGTTCTGGTGCTCTGTAGTTGGAAATTCATATACGTTGAAGTTTTTGGTTTTGGTTTCTTATTCCTTCATCTTTCTATTGGAGTTGCTTCCATTAAAGGGTGGGCATTGCTATGTCAGATTTATTAGAAGAAAAAGGGTGAACTTGATAAGGTTGTATTACTTAGAGAGTGTGAGACTAAGGATGTAAGAGATGAAAATAATGAGAGTTTGCACAACTTGGAAGTACTTAAAGTAGGGCCTTATGATTTTGATTTACAAAATAGGAATCATGTTACTGGTACTAATTTTCAAACAAAGCATGTACCATTAAAGTAAAAAAACTGCAGGATCCTAAAAAATTCGAACAATTCATGTATCACCCATGTAAAACTGCAACGTCTCTGATTCCTTGAAATACTGATTTTGCTCTGGCATTGAGAAATTTCGAATGTTAGGGGAAGCCTTTGAAAACTTTCCTTCCTTTTTGTTGAACTTTTTAAATATGAGCAACGGGCAGATGATTTTGTACCAGCTGTTTCAGAATCTCATGCAAAGAAAGGTTAATTGACATGAACACTTGATGGAAACTGTCACAATTTGAAGTAGTATATACCATTTGGTATAATTTGTCAACTGTGACTGTGACTATTCACACCAGTGTGCTGATGAAATCTTAACTAAGATAATTTTTACTTGGTTATATAAAAGAATCTTCAAGTTTGAGATAAAGGTGATGTTGTTGTATATAAAAGAATCCTGAAGTTTATATTTCACCGGACCTATTGACCAACACATCAATGAAGTGCTGATTGAACAAATTTATTTTGTTCGTACCTGTCTTTGTAACCTTTTGTTTCACTACAATATCAGTTGAGTTTGAGTCTGTGTTTTTGTGTATGGATGGTTTAATTCTGTATTGATTATGGTTGTCAATTTTTGTAGGTCAGATCCACAGACACGTAAAGAAAAAGGCTGAAAGAAGCATTTGGTTGGTAATTAATTGTAAGAATGGTAGATCATGCCTATCTTTTCCAGGTATCTCCATGTGGGATCCTTGCAATGATCTGCTTTGTATTGTGTCACCTTTATCTCATAGAAAAATTATTATTGTGTCATATTAACTTGCCTCTTTATCACTCCTACACAACCTTTTTCTTTTTCCCGCCTCTTCTAATCCTTTTCCTTCCAAAAGTCAAAATTTTCTTCATAGAAGCACACTGGGTCGATACCTCCTAGCAAACAACCAAGTCCTTCCGACATAGTGGCTGCTGAGCCTAGGGCTCTAATATCTCCTATATATGTAGTGATAATCTTCAAACTTAGGTAACTTTTTAATTTGCTCTGATCGTCAGAAACTTGACAAATTTGCAATGGCATAATTGATAATGAAGTAGAAGAATTCGCCCCCATAGGGAGGTGAGTTGCTTAACATGGTCATGACTGTAGCCACATTTGTTACAACATAGGAAGAGATGCTTGCTAATTATTGTAAAAATGGGCATGACAAGTCAAATACTTGATTTTTTGGCTATCCCTTTTTAATATATTGGTAGCAGGTGAGCATTCAATCCATGTGTTACTAGAAAATTATTTGGATGTTTTCCAAGTATAATGTGATAAAATGCATATATAGTGCTTTAGCAGACTGATTTGTTGGGATTATTCTCTATTTTGATTTCACTTTTTTTACTTTTTGGCCACTGTTTATCACCAGAATCATCGAACTTCAATTTTTTGTTTGTTTAAGCCATTTGTGGATGTATGTGGACTGTGGTGTGTCCTATAATTGATTATTTGAATGATACGCAATCTAATAGATGTTTCACATATTACTAGGATCTTGTGCCTAAATATTCTTGTAGGCCTATCCATTGAAAGTTGGAAAAGGACCTGCCATTAATGGGTTGTTTTCTTGATATGGGCAGACTTGCGGCTTAATTGATTTACGGTGTGTATTATAATTGATTTACGGCTCAATTGAAATGGATTTACACTCAAAAGGATATGTAGCGGGACATTTTTGTCTTACCAAAAAAAGAAATGAGAATAATTAGTTAAAGAGTGTTGTTAGGTGTGGATGAGATGAATGAGTAAAATGATGAATAATTAAGTTAATCACGAAGCTTTGGCAAGTAGAAAGCATAGAGTCGTGATTTGAATCATTTTATGCGTCCATACATAATTTTTAAGGTCAATAAATAGAATTTTATTCACTTAATATTGTTTGATGTGGACCCAAAAAATGTTAAGAAACTAGAGGGATATGAATAACACATTCAGATTCTTAAAATTTAGGATATGGATGTGAATGGAATATCAATATATTAAAAAGTATGTATTTTAAAAATGTTATGTTAAATTTTTTCTTAAATTGTTTATTTATGTAAATAATCGTTTGATGAATAAAAATATTAAATATATTCTTATATTGATATTGTAGTGTATAATTTTATTCATATTAATAAATTTGTTTTTAATTTTGAATATAATGATAAATAAGTATTATTTTTTTAATAAGTTTGTCTTTTATTTTTCTTTATCATAATTGTATTTATCTAAATAATGTAGAGGTATCTAATTATATATCCTATTAATTTAGCAAACAATTTCTTTTCAATTTGAATTTTTAAGCTAAATTTTTTATATAATATCAAATAGCATTTGGTTTTACTTTTTAATTTCTTAACGTAATTTTTTTTTGTTCTTATGTGCAAAATTCTTCTAAGTATTTTCGTCAATGAAAGTTTTCACGGATGCTTCTTTAGAAAAGCCTCTTTTCCAACGTCAACGAAAAGGCAACTAAGAGGTGTTATAAATTGTTTGTTCAAGTAAAGATCTAAAATGGAATACGAAATACGGTCGTCTCTGATCCATACAAAACGAATGTGGTAAAAAATGTCTACTTTTTATTTTGTTTGATATTTGTTGTGGGAAAGAAAAGGGAGTTTCTTTATTGAGAACCAAATAACAACTTCGGTATTTAAAGTGAGCTGGCCAATTGGACCAGTCGAATCGAGGACAAAGAACAAATTAATTGTTCAATCACTAGGAATCGTTCTTTCCATCCACATATCAGATGAGACTTGTCCTAGTAAATTTAATAAAATGGAACAAAATCTGATCTTAAATATATATATATATATATATATATATATATATATATATATATAAAGTTGATATTTGCCTAATGAGTTTACATATTTCCTATGTCATGTTATTTATTTTAAATAAAATAAAATAAAACAATTATTTAAATAATAAATTTCAATTTTTTTTTTTTTTTATTCTTGATAGGTCTTGTAGGTTTAAATAAGCTAATAGGTTTAGGCTGGATCTATAATTTAATCTGCATTAAGTTAATGGTCAGGCTTAAAATATCTTAATTCAATTTGACCTATATAAACTAAAATCTAGTATAATCCAATTCATTTATACCCCTAATTCTTCTCGATAAATTTGTTTATTAGGTAAGCCTAAACGCTTTAAATTACTTTTGGTCGCAACAGTAGTCTGAACCGGTGATAGTTGTGAAATAATCACGCTCTGATAATAAGAAATAAGCAATGAACACAGTGAGAACTGTTGGGTATGGCTCATACTTCACATGATGATGTTGGCCTTAATTGTCGGGGTCAGCAGAAAGGCAACTGGGGTCCCGCTCCTAGGTGAGCGGGCGGGGGTCCGGGGGGCAGCGCCCCCAGGCCCGTAGAGGCTAGGTAATGTTTAGGCCTCTGTTTCTATTGTAATTTTCTTAGCAGTTTGGGCTTGGGCCCATGAATAGCTGCTGTTAGGGTTTCTTGTAATCCTATTTATATTTGCCTTGTAAACCGAGAGACTTGTAACGAGTGGCGGTGAGGTGAATATAGTACAGACAAGCTGGACGTAGCCTACATTGGGTGAACCAGGGTAAATCATCGTGTCAATCTCTCTACTCTTATCTCTTTTTCTGTTTTCTCGATTCTGTGTGATTGTCGATTTCCAACAATTGGTATCAAGAGCTTTGGTTCTGCGACCAGGGTTCCTGTGACAGATTGGGGTTTCGCGATTTAGGGTTTTTTCTTGGCATAGATAAAACTGCGAAATTGATCTGGAGAGGATGTCGACTGGCCAATCACGGGTCGAGGTTGAAAAGTTCGGAGGAAAAGGGTTCGAGTTATGGAAGCTGAAGACGGAGGCTCTGCTCGTTGACAGGGACGTGTGGTACGTGATCGAAGATGATAAGCCGTCCGTACCAACAAAACCTGTCGGTGAAGAAACGTCAGGTGATGGCGAGTCGAAGGAGTTGAAGGCGTGGACTAGAGACGATCGAAAGGCGCGAAGCCTGATCTGGTTATGCCTGGCTGATAACGTTCTGGTGAACGTAACTTCTGAGAAGACCGCGAAGGATCTCTGGACGAAGCTGGGAAGTCTCTATCAGAGCAAGTCACTCGTGAACAAGCTGTTCCTGCGAAGGAGGCTGTATAATCTGCGGATGAGCGAAGGTGATTCTTTCTCTGCTCATTTAAATGAATTTAATACTATTTGTGCACAACTTTCGTCTATAGACATTAACCTGGACGAGGAAGACAAAGCTTGCACCTTGTTGTGTTCACTGCCCAACTCTTGGGAGCACATCATTGTGTCAATTGGTACTAGTGTTAATAAACTGTCGTTTGAGACGGTTGTTGCTTCCTTATTGTCTGAGGAGATGAGAAGGGTAGGTTCTGAAGGTACCAACAATGAGGCTCTGGTTGCTAGAGGGAGGAGTGATGACAAATCAAAGTCTGATCACAGAGGAAGATCGAGGGGACGATCAAAGTCCCGTGATAAATCTGATAAATCTGAAATGAGGTGCTGGAGGTGCAAAAAGGTTGGACATCTGAGAAGGAATTGCAGAAGTAAAAGTGTAGGTCCTGAGAAGCGGGATGATTCACAACCGTCTGCTTCGGGTACAAAGAAGGATGATGATGATAGTACAGGGGACCTGTGCATGGCGTTTGACAGTCATAATGACTGTAATGATTGGATTATTGACACTGGAGCATCGTTTCATATGACACCTCATAGGGAGTGGTTCTGCACCTATGAATCGTATTCTGGCGGTACAGTTAGAATGGGAGATGACACGACTCATGCAATTGTGGGGCGTGGGAAGGTAAAGCTGAAGATGAGTGACGGGACAATCAAGAATCTGCCGGGTGTGATGCATATTCCGGGGCTTACCAGAAATTTGATCTCCGTTGGTAGTATGGCAGATGCTGGTATTAATTTTAGCAGTGACAAGTATTCTTGCAAGCTGACTCGAGGAGCTTTGGTTATTGCAAGAGGAGAGCGTCATGGTAAATTGTGGAAACTGCTGGGTAGCACAGTATTCAGTGGTGAAAGCTATGTTTCAGAACAGGCGGAGGAGGACACTGCTATGTTATGGCATAGGAGGCTGGGGCATATTGGAGGAAAAGGTCTGGAGACTCTAACATCAAAGAAGTTGGTGGATGGAATTCCGAGCTGCTCTATGGGATTTGGATTTTGCGAGCATTGCCTGCAAGGGAAGCAAAATCGGGTATCTTTTGATTCCATAGGAGGAAGAGCTGAGGGGGTTCTGGACTTGATACACAGCGACGTGTTTGGCCCCACACCTGTAGCATCACATGGAAAATCAAGGTATTATGTTTCTTTTACTGATGATTTTTCAAGATATGTGTGGTTATATTTCTTGCGCAGCAAGGATGAAGTGTTCGATAAATTCTGCGAGTTCAAGGCTTTGGTGGAAAATCAATTTGATCAAAAAATCAAGGTGCTGAGAACTGACAATGGAGGGGAGTTCTGTTCAACAAAATTTGACCAGTTTTGTGCGAGCAATGGGATTGTAAGACAGAAGACTACGACCTACTCACCTCAACAGAATGGGGTGGCAGAGAGGTTGAATCGATCTCTCATGGAGAAAGCACGGAGTATGCTGAGCGGTGCAGGCTTGGCAACTGAGTTTTGGGCAGAGGCAGTGGCTACTGCTTGTTATCTGAAGAACAGATCTCCTACATCAGCTTTGAAGGAGAAGACTCTGTATGAAGCACTGTTTAAAAAAAGGCCAGACGTATCTCATATCAGAGTGTTTGGCTGTGAAGCTTATATGCACGTACCCAAGGAGAAAAGAAACAAGCTTGACAGTAAATCTGAAAAGTGTATCTTTATTGGGTACAAGGATGGCGTCAAAGGTTATAAGTTGTGGAATCCGGATACTAGAAGTGTAACTTACAGCAGAGACGTTGTATTCAAAGAATCTAAGTTGAATCAGATTTTTCCTGAAGCTCCTGAAAAGTCACAGACGGTGGAGTTGGATGTGGGTTTGAAAGAGGATACAATAAACTCACAGATTGAATTGGAAAATTTGAATTCTGAAGCTGCTGAATATAATGAGGTAGAGGATGAATTTTCTGAAACTGAGGCTGAGGTTGAAGCACCAGTGCTGAGGAGATCCACGAGGGAAAGAAGACCATCTGAGAGGTATACACCTGAAAATTATATCCTGTGTGCTAGTGATGATGTTTGTGCATTTAGTATTACAGGTGATGATCCGAGCACTGTAAAACATGCGAGGAGCTCGGAGGATGCCAAACAGTGGGAGGAAGCTATGAAAGAAGAGATGAAGTCTCTGATGAAAAACCAAACTTGGAGTTTGGTGAATCTACCTGCAGACCGAAAAGCAATTGGTTGCAAGTGGGTGTTCAAGAAGAAGGTTGGTGCCAATGGGGAGATTGAACGCTACAAGGCTCGATTGGTTGCAAAGGGATATTCACAGACAGAAGGGGTTGATTATGGTGAGGTATTTTCACCTGTTGCAAAGTTAAATTCCATAAGACTCGTTTTGTCTGTAGCAGCTGCATATGACCTAGAGGTGGAGCAGCTGGATGTGAAGACAGCTTTTCTTCATGGTGATTTGGAGGAGGTTATTTTCATGAAGCAACCAGAGGGGTTCATTGCAAGAGGCAAAGAGGAGCTAGTCTGCAAGCTGAATAAATCTCTGTATGGCCTGAAGCAGTCCCCAAGGATGTGGTACATGAAGTTCGACACTTATGTGCTGAAGCTTGGCTTTGACCGTTGTGATGCTGATCACTGTGTTTATGTGAAAAGGTTAGAAGGTGACTTTGTTATTCTAACTTTGTATGTTGACGACATGTTACTCGTTGGAAACAGTTTGAAAATGATCAGCACTGTTAAAGGACTGCTAGCAAAGCAGTTTGAAATGAAAGATCTAGGCGCTGCAAATGTGATCTTGGGTATGCAGATTAAGAGGGAGCGTGACAAACGAAGATTATGGTTAAGTCAGCAGAAGTACATAGAAGATGTTCTGAAGAAATTCAAGATGACTGACCGCAAGCCTGTGTTGACTCCCATGTCTACTGGTTCTAAGTTATCGGCTGACCAGTGTCCCAAGACTGAAGAAGAAAAAGAAGAGATGGCGTCAGTTCCTTATGCTAGTGCAGTAGGGAGTATGATGTATGCCATGATTTGTACTCGACCTGATATTGCTCAAGCAGTGGGAGTATTGAGCAGGTATATGTCCAAGCCAGGAAATGAGCATTGGACGGCTGTGAAGCGTGTGTTCCGCTATCTTCGTGGTACGTCTGACCTTGGGTTATGCTATGAAGGCGTGAAGGGCTCAAGGGGACAGACATTGTTAGAGCTGAGATGCTTTGTGGATGCTGATTGGGGAGGTGACATTGATAGTAGAAGATCTACAAGTGGATATGTTGTTTTTTCATTTGGCGGAGCTATCAGTTGGATGAGTAAGAGGCAGAGCACTGTTGCTTTATCTTCTACAGAGGCTGAGTACATGGCCTTGACACATGCTGTTAAGGAAGCTATTTGGTTACGGAGGTTGTGCAAAGAGCTTGGCTTTGCACAAGGAGAGATGATCGTTGGGTGTGACAGTCAGAGCGCCATTTTCTTGGCTAAGAACCCAGGTTTCCATGCGAGGACCAAGCATATCGGCATACAGTACCACTTCATCAGAGAGAAGATTGAAGACAAGGTTGTATTGCTGGAGAAGGTTGACACAAAGGTCAACAATGCTGATTTTCTGACCAAGGCAGTGACTTCGGAGAAGTTTGAATGGTGTACAGATGCTTTGGGATTGAAGAAACATGTGAAGCATTCACCAAGTGGGAGAATGTTGGGTATGACTCATACTTCACATGATGATGTTGGCCTTAATTGTCGGGGTCAGCAGAAAGGCAACTGGGGTCCCGCTCCCAGGTGAGCGGGCGGGGGTCCGGGGGGCAGCGCCCCCAGGCCCGTAGAGGCTAGGTAATGTTTAGGCCTCTGTTTCTATTGTAATTTTCTTAGCAGTTTGGGCTTGGGCCCATGAATAGCTGCTGTTAGGGTTTCTTGTAATCCTATTTATATTTGCCTTGTAAACCGAGAGACTTGTAACGAGTAGCGGTGAGGTGAATATAGTACAGACAAGCTGGACGTAGCCTATATTGGGTGAACCAGGGTAAATCATCGTGTCAATCTCTCTACTCTTATCTCTTTTTCTGTTTTCTCGATTCTGTGTGATTGTCGATTTCCAACAAGAACAAAACGTCTATAATTGAAAGTAATCAAAAACATGAACCTTGGGAGATAAGTTCATAACTAAGGAATATTATCCTATGCATTTGTAAACATCTAATTTTTATTTTGATCTCATGCGGTTATTTTCGGTCAAACGAGACGAAGTGCAGCTTTTCATACCCATATTTTTTTTTTTTGATACATTTTCATACTCATCTTAATTGGCAAAAGATCTGCTTTGATGACTATTTGAACTCACCAATGATAACTATATATAATCATTCAGAATAATTGGTTACAAGGTTTTTTTCAATGCCCAAGAAACACAAATTTGTTTTACAACAAATTGGTAAAATTATAACAAATATACCACAGGCAGAAAGGAATGCTAAAAAATTAATAAAAAAAAATAAAAAAAAATGAAATTGCTTGACAATGGATTTGCAACTTTTACAGGTTATATGCCTCATTGTCAAAAAGACTGCTTTCATTTCCAAACTTCCACTAACCACACATTAACTATGCACTTTAAAGCATTTCACATAAGGAAACAACTGAAGCAATTCTTCACGGCTTCGTTTCTGCAAAGGAGTAAACGAACTATTAGAAAAACAGGTCCAGCCAATAATACTTGTAATATGTGACATATATAGAGCTAGTTTCAAGTGGGAATTTGCCTTGATGCCAATACATCCGTTCACATCAAGGGTCGTAATTTTGTTGGAACAGGACTTTGAGAGTGCCTCCAGACATTTATCAGTCACACCAACTATTCCGAACAAGCTGCAAATATGTTCTTTCAACCCATCAGCAACAGAAGTGAATTTAGGATAACAATCAATGCAGAGAAGGTCACTTCATGCAGAAAAGGATTTGTAACGGTTATGCAACCAATTTTCCCTAAAGCTTAAGCCTTGCAGTGACGGCACAATAATGGTTTTATTATATAGGGATTAACGTTTCTCCTGTAACTAGAGCTACAGTTATCTACTGCAACTCCAAAACGATGTTATTTTGGGGTTTGAAAAAAAAAATACATTGTATTTTAGTAAAATTCATTATACAAGAGAAAAGTAAAATTTCCAAAATGTCCTGTGTTTTTTTTTTTCTTGAACCCCAAAATGACATTATTTTAAGATTGCAGGAGATAATTTTATTTCCTGTTGTAGGAGAAACATTTTTCCCTATTATAAATATATATCTCTTAACATGTACCCTCACGCAATATGGGCTTTGAAGTGTGGATAATATATTGACCCATTTTTTTACTTTTTTATTTTCTATTACCTTGTGCTTCACTTTAGTTTTTTTTATTAGAAGAATGGGGTGGACAAGGATCAAACTCTAAATTATTTGTTTACAGGCTCTAATTCCATGTTATACAACCAACTTTTCCAGAAGCTTCCTTTGAGTGAAGGCACGAGAATGGTTTTATTAGATCTCTTAACAGTAACTATCTATGTATGCAAGTGTCCATGTATAAATAACAATGCATTGCATGACCATGTCACCATTTAAAACCAACTTCGGTAAGGACATTTGGCTCAAATACATAAACAAACTTCAGCCAGATCTAGTCTTAGCTCAGGAAGCTCCCTCAATAAATGTTGGATGCTAAATGAGTATCTTGTGCTCAGTTGAGCTGAAAGACTGATAGTCTACAGGTTTCGAAACCAGCTGTTCAGAGGCTATTATAGAAAAATGGAAGTGCTCTGGAAAATGAAAGCCATGTGCTAGTATTGAATGCAAACTTGTAAACGGTGTAAGAGACATTCAAATGCCCCTTAGCGAAAACAAAAAAGTGAACATTCAAATTCTACCATATATCTTGAGAAGCACATTTATTTGTAATATGACTAGGCCACCAACAAGATATTTTCTGAAGTCAGTAGTGCACCATCGAGTACCGTATATGTAAAACAGGTGCAAACTTCTCAAATTAGGATATACCTTAGAAATTCAAGAGAGGTGCAATTCTGTGCAATGGATATGACCCCCTCATCAGTCACACGTACACACCTATCACAATAAATGAGATGCAGACCCTTTACTTTCATACAATGAGGAACATATTTATTCAGGTTGATGATTAATTTACCATGTCAGGTTGAGGGATACAAGGTTCTTGCATTTAGAAATACAGGAAAGTCCTTCATCTGAAAGATTCTGCAAGCCAAACTTCTATCTATTAGTAGTCTGCATTAGATAGGATTTCGCAGAGAAATCTTTGGAACCCCAAGATTTTACCTGGGCACCACAGAGATCCAAAAACTTTAGACGTGTCAAAAGGCATATTTTCCTGTAAGCTTCATCTGTGAAACTGAGTAAGAGTAATGTGAATTAATCCAATTCCAGGGCAAGACAACTTGAACTTAAATATGTTGAGTTTCAATATACCTAGACAATGCATAGAGATTCAAACTCTGAAGAGATAGACATTTGTGCAATAACTGCTTCAACCCATCATCTGTTAACTTGATGCACCTAAGCATCAAATTATGAGATATAAGTACCAGAAGAGAGGTATAATTCACCCCAATGTTCAATTTCATCATCTTAACAGACTGCTGTTTGGAATCTTAACTTATATTTCAGCGAAAACGTTGAACTAGAAACAAAAATCTTTGATACCCCACTTATAATGGCCATCAAAAGTTACTTGCCAATTAAACATTTTCTGACTGCTAATGCAAAAAAGTTAAATCTGTTAACAAATGACTGTATGATTCATTATTTGAGAAATGATATTTACAATCACATATGTGCTAGATCTCACGGAATCTGTTATAAATCACTGCAGATACCTAGTCAAGTTCAGCGACTCTAGTTCTGTATAACTCTCAGCAACAAATTGTACACCTCGGTCTGAAATATTCTGCAATTATCATATCAAAGTACTATGTTCAGAAGACATAAGACCAAATCTCAGTAGCCCAATATTAATTTAACATACAATTGTAGTTATGAAATTGCATTAAGATGATAACAACCAAAATACCACTTTGTACCCAGTCACAGTAAAGAGGCTAAAAGCATATTTAGTTATTTACTAATACTGGAAAGAATATTCCAGACATTGATTTTTGTACTTACAACAAGGATTAGAGCTGCCAAATTACAGAATTTTCTTAAAGGCATATATGCAATTTACTATAGAATCTGTTTCGTGTTTCTATAGTGGAATGCATGCATGGAGAAAGTTATAAATTAACAATATAGAGTATTTAAAAATTGACAGAACTGTAAATTAGAACTGAGTGGTAGCCAAAGAGTGTATTGCATGCGCACATGACCATAAAAAGATAAGTTGATGACAGATACTTCAAAGTATAACATCTAACAGCTATCTAACTATCGAAGAAAGAAAGGGATTGAAAATGGACTATCTGGTAAAGAAAGAAAGAAAGAGAGAGAGAGAGAGAGGAGAAAGGGATTGAAAATGGACTATCTGGAACATAGGAAGAAAAACGGGTCTAACTCTCCACAATGCTAATAGCTTTCCTACAATCCGTTCTAAGATACACCGTCCGTCAATCTATATCTCACTCCATTAAATCTTGTTAACTACCTTCCCTCAAGTAAGTTTCGATCTACCTTTTCCTCTCTGTGTCAAGCTTTTGGTAACAAACTTTTTTTCTTACGATAGTATCTAGGGTCTTCTCATTATATACCCAAACCACCTCAATCTATATTCTCTCATCTTTTAAACTATCGGTACTACTCCTACCTTTTGTCGAATATCTTCATTTCTTATCTTATCCATCATCGTACAACGACACACGTGCTGAATGTTTAAATAAGGAAACAGCTGCTGTTGAATGAATCCATCTGGTGAACTTCCATGTGTTGAATGTTTTTCACCATTTTTCACTTAAATTCCTTTTTTGCAGTATTTGGTAGGCATTAAAGAAGAACCACTAAATCAGTTAAGTGCCAAAACTTTGTATTTTTAGCACTGGATTATGTTTTAAACAGGCCCATTGACTAACAATGAAAGGTATACATCAACTAAATATACACATTTTATGCAATTCTTTCTGTTTATGAACACGTAATAAACCTTTAAAAATCAACATTCAATAGTATACTGTAATACAAAATTACGAATCCAAGGCATCATGTACCTTACAGCCACTTATGTTCAAATCAACTATGCGCTTGCAGTTCCTCACTGTATGCAGTAGTCCTGTATCTGTTACCCTGGAATATAGTTCATATTTCAGACTTTTGAATACGAAAGACGATTGTCAACTGCTGAATTGAACATCAAACATCAAGAAAAGTTTAAAGCACCTCACATTCCAGTAGATGGAAAAGGTTTTCAGCTGAGGGCAACAACTGGTTATTGCTTCAATTCCTGTATCCGAGATTTTTTGGCAGCCATTCAAATTTAAAGACTCCAAGCTTTGAAGAGAATCAAAACACTAGAAATGCTTAAAATTTTTTGGTTAGGATCACAGTCAGCATATATTCTAGATCATAAAAGTATTTGTGCAAACATTTTCAACTAAGGTTGTCTTCTTTATAAAAAATTCTTGAAATTTCAGAACCATAAATATTCAGTTACCAATGATAAAATATTTCAGCTTCTGTCAAAGCATTTATGATTTTTGCAGGGAATCATCATATAAGACTTCTACATTTTAACTGCAGGCATGGAAATTAAGTCCATCGGTCTGCAATCAAGTATTGGGTGCCTATCTCTATTAAACCCCGACTAGCAAGGGTATGGGTGAAGCAATTCTTATAAACATTCTCACCCTTGCATATTTGCAAAGAAGTTATTTCCCAGATTCGAACCTATGACCTTTCACTCATAAAGGAGCAACTTTACCACTCCTTTTGGCTCGCCCTCTTCATGATGTAAAAGTAGATTATACAAATACATATCAATTCCATCTTTCATGAGTCAATTTTTTTTTATCAAGCTGGATGCATCAGGTTAGCAAACATATCAAGTTTCTGCATCACAACATATTGGGAATTGTTTGATACAATATTCTATACTCCGAAATCACAGAAGCAGGCATATTTTGAAATAGTACAGTAACAATATATATGACATTATTTTCAACTGAACCGACATGATTCTTCCATTCCATCCTTAGAAGATAGATGAACATTAAAATTCATAGAAAATCATTAAAAAAAGAAGAAAATGTTACCTTTTCCTTAATAAGGATAAGATGTGAGTCTTCAACATCTCGTGCAAATTCGAGGTTAATCTGCTTCACATAGCGATATCTTGGCTACAAAAAGCAATCAAATTTCACTCCCCAAAACACAATTAATGATATTTCAACTTCCAAAATCTCATTTTTGCAATAGTTACTAACTGCACCATAGGTAACTGAATAAAAACTCATAGTATCAAGAAATGTAATCAAAATTTGGTTAATTAAAGAAGTAAAATATACTAACCAGAGAAAGAGCAGATATAAGGCGATTCCCCGCATTATTCAACTCGCGAAAATTGAGTGACTAATTTGAGAAGAAAAAAAGATTAATAAAAAATTGAAAATAAAAATTGATGGAAAATGAGAAAGTGTTTGGGAGAGAAACCTGCCAAAGGTGTTGGGAAGAAAGAAGGGTACGATGAAGCGAGGGAGTGACGAGGAGAAGAGAAACAAGGTCTGTGTGAGTGAGTAATAAAGTTGAACAAACGAGTTTCAACACTTTCGGCACTGTCTCTCTGCACCATATAATGTCCTGTGCATCTGTTGTTGTTTCTTCCATTGTTGTCAAATGAAGAACAGAGTGAGAGAGGGGTTCGTAGTTTTGTTTTTGATCTGGACAAGGTACAGGTTTTGCTGTACGGTTTCTAATGCACATATAAATAATGTTTTTTTATTAATTTAAGAGGAAGTATTCTTAACAGTTTTTTTTTAATAATTTCTTATAATTATTTTTTAATCGAAATTAAATGAAGGGTTCTCACGTGTTTTTATTTATTTGATTTTGGTTCAAGAATAAAAAAATAATTATAAAGGGTTATATGTAAAAATGGATTATTAAATATAATTTTCCTCTAATTTTAAAAGTCTAATAATTTATAAAGCATTAAGTTAATCTTATAAAAAAAAAGTTTACCAAAAAAAAAAATCTTATAAAAAAATTAAATGCTAGGTTAGTACTAAACTATGCGGTTAAATAAGCGTTGATTAAAAGTATGCATTAATTACAATTTTTAATAAAAAAATGTTATTTTTTAAATTGTGATTTGAATATTTGATCTTAATTTAATCGTATCTATTAGAATGATGTATATTGTGATTTTGTATTTTTTTTGGAAAAACATTTTTTTACAGTTGCAGGAAAAAAATGTTTTCCTCCCTGATGGATTGAAACTTGACCTCTATATATATATATATATATATATATATATATATATATATATATATATCTTTTTGAAATAAAATGGTGAGACCCATGTACGTGTGGAGTTCGTGTGTTCCCTTTCCAAAAATAGGAAAAAAAAAGAATTGAAAGAGAATTTAAAAAAAAGACAGAGATATAAATGTAAGCATGAATTCATGCTCAATAACAATCATATCAAGAACATGAAAAAGGTTCTTTAGAATTTATAAGTTTCACATAAACATACCTTTTTCTATAATTGCGGAAGATCTTTAACGGTAGAATACTTTCTCAGAGTCTTGACCCTTTTACTTCTTGTATATTCTTCTGATACAGATGGGATACAACGCTCATGGGTAGACAATGATGGTAGTCAGTTTTTTAGACCCCTATTTATTAGAAAACCACCCACTACTCTTAAGATAACTGCACCTATCAACCGTTATTCTTTTAAACAACTTCCTTAACAGTCAATTACCATTATGCCCTTTTATTAATTAAATCAAATAACACTTAATATTATACATGAGACAAATAAGGTTTTACAATAAATCGAATTTTTTTTTTAATAAATGATCACCAAATAAGATTGTGGTTCTGAAACATAATAAAAAAATTCGTATGTGTGATGTGTTTGCAGGAGTGTTAACAGGCCGAGTTTTGGTCTTAAAATGCTAAGTCTGTGTTTAAATGTGTCAGCATGACCAAGCCTATTACTTGTTATAAATATAATTATCGGCCTGTGGTCTGGCTTATTTACAAAAAATAAAAGCCTGATTTAGCCTGTTTAAAAAAATTAAGACAACAAAAATTTATCCAAACAAAATATATAATCAAGAACACTAGTAATTTCATACATATTCATAAATTGAATGTATATCCAAACAACATAATATAGAACAAAATCATTTAAAAACTCTATTTAACTAATAAAATGGGGTAAAATAGATTAAGAAGAAAGAGAGAGCTATTACAAGTAGTATAAAAAATATAAAAATAAAATAAAATAATAATATACTAGGCCAGCCTGAGAGGTTCTAAGGCCGAACTTTTGAATTGGAGCTTGAGGTCTTTTTTATCAAACGAGCTTTTATACAAGTTCAAGCCTGATGTCAACAACTAATTTTACACATGTAAGTTCAGGTCTTCACGAGTCGAGCCAAAGGCCCCTGGTTCGTTTAGCACCCCTATGCAAAGTTATCACTTATCAATAGCAACGTAAGAAAATTAATAAGTTTTTTTTTAATATAAACTGATTTAATTTGGCTTGAGCATATTATTATTGGATCCATATTGGAAGCGGTTCTAGCAGTACAACTTTCTCCATTTTAAAAATTTGAATCAGACTTTTAGTTAGGAAGAATAAGTTGAATCGTTATGGTTTAGGGGATGTATGAGATTGAGATTTTAAAGGATTTTAATAGATTATTTTTGGATAAATTTTTTTTATTGGTATTCAATTAGGATTTTAGAGGATTGAAAAAAAGTCACATTGTATTTGATTATGATTTTAAAAGATTACTCTAGAGTCCGTCCAAATTCGCTGGTATTCAATCAGGATTTTAAACAAAGAAAAAAATAATATTATGATATTCAAAAATCTCACGATTTTAACGGATTTTTTATTGGTGTAGATTTCATAAGACTTTTTAGTGAGAAATATAAATATGATGTTTCTCTCAGAATCTCACCATAACCCCTAGGATTTCTTAAGATTTCTCTATTGCAATGTCTTCTTCTTCCTTTAGCGGGTTAATCCGCTCGAAACCGGGTTATGCCGTGGGAGCTTCGTCAAAGCTCAAAAATAACAAAATTTTTAGCGATTTTTATCACAAAACACCCAGAAACAACAAATCAACAAGATTCTAATACAATTCATCTCAAAAGCATCAGATTTTTTAGAGTTTTTGGAAGTTTAAAAAATAATTTTTCAAGTAACGGGTCGCGATTTTTCTTGGCACAAAAATGTATAATTTTTGTATTAAAAACAACATAAAATAGTGGGAAAACAAAAGGGGAACTAAAACCCTTAAACCAATTTTCGTTTTACATCAATGAAACAAGATCAATTTAAAGAAAGATCGAAACTTTCATAATATAAACCCTATATTTCGTAACAATATATTCATGAACAAAATTCCTTCGCTATATGAAACAATTTCAAACAAATTTTTTGTTAATAGATAACTAAAAAATTATTTTTCAAAAGCCCCAAAACAATTTAAGGTTTCAATGCATCGATTGAAAATAATTTGAATTTTTTTCTAAATTTTCATGTAATAAAACTCAGAAATTCAGATTCAAATTTTTTTTAGAATATGCAATGAAAACATGCATATGATATATGGTTGGAAAACTCTGTTAGTACATGAATGTCCTAGAGACAATCTTTTAATTAGATTAGGACATATGTGGACCTTTTTATATTGTCGCAAATAAATAAAAGCACTCTTTATCCTGTTTCATATTTTGTCTCAATATTATTGTTAATATTTTATATGAGTAACTGGATAAACCCCTTGGAATAAAATAGGTATCTCTTGAGTATCTGTGATGAGATCACAATCATGAGGATTCAAGGATACTGAATGTTTATTCCTAATTTTATGTTCCTAGTCTAGAGACACTGGGAATGGGGATCAGTGATCTCGGGTAAGACTAGAACGACTGATCTACTTGTATACGAATACAAGGTAAAAGACCTCATGTGCTGTTATCAAAAAAAAAAAAAAAAGACCTCATGTGCTACAGATATGAAGATGTCTTAGCTAAAGTCGTGGGTGGACCTATAAGGGTATAGCTCGCACTGAACATACCCACAAAGAGACTCTATGATGAAATCTCACAGACAGTGTCATTGGAGTAGTCTCTTTATATTTGGGTATGTCTTTCCTTAGACCAGAAGTTATTACCTAGACTGTGTTCTAGAAGGCATGCTTTGACTGTATACCTCGTCTGCCTGAAACATGGAGACTCATAGGTACACTGTTGAGCTTGTCCTGAAAGAGCACCAGGCTAGTGTGATAAGCTGAAGGAATTCGTCAAATCTCTGTGAGAGATTAGGTTATCTGTAAATCGGAGAAATCGGGATGACATTTACAGGGACTCGGGAATCTATGCATAGTAGAAGAGATTATGAGATGATCTGCCTTTAGAGTCAGTAAATTGAAGATTCCCTATTTCGAGTAAAGCTTACCCTAAATCGCAAGGGTTGATACGTTTCCTTACCCTAGGTTTAATGGGAAGGTAACCGAGACGAAAGGAAATATATACGGCAACCAAATATGTGTAATAGGATGATCAAGTCATTAATCTAACTAGCTCTGAGGCAACAAAGCATTGCTAGTGCTCTGTGTTGTCATTAAATGGGTTGTGGGCTTATTGGGCCCAAGCCCATTTATGCCAGTGGCTATGTTGGACCTAATGGGTCACACACTAACACCTTATTGTCATGATGATCTAGCATTAAAGGTATTAGGCCTAATAATGATTGTTAGCCCAAGATGAAGTTTGGAAGCCCACCTAAGAGGGAGAGGGCGCATGGTATGGTTAATGGGCTTGGATGATCCAAGACATTACTAATTAATTTAATTGGTTAAATTAATTATCAAATATTTAAATTTTGAATTTTGAATTTGAAATTTGAAATTTGAATTTTGAATTTGAATTTTGAAATTCGAATTTTGAATTTGAATTTGGAATTTTGAATTTTGAATTTTGATTTTGAATTTGAATTTTGAAATTTGAATTTTGAATTTTGAATTTTGAATTTGAAATTTGAATTTGAATTTGAATTTAGAATTTAAATGTTTGAACATTTGAATTTAAATGTTTGAATTCGAATTTGAATTGGCTATGAAAAGTTGTTTCATAACAAAATGATAAGATGAGATCTTGTTGGAACAAATTCCTTGTATCAAGAGAAGATCTATGGAGATCTCCAAAGGCTGATTTGGGGCGCCACTTTGGTTGGAGATGAGTGTCATCTTTTTCAAACAAACAAGCTCTAATCAGATTTGGTTGTTGAGAGAATCAGTGAGCTAGTTGGTTCAAACTTGAATGCAACAGCTCAAAGTATCTGGACCCCTTTTGGGGCTGAATGGGGCGCATGAATAGGATGGTCATATGATGACCATTAGTTCAGAATCTTGACTAGATAGAGACCTAGTCTCATGAGGATTCAAAGGTAGGTTGTTGGAAATTTTGAATTGCAAACAACTCCACCTTTCTCTCCTCTCTTGTGCGCCACCTACATCATGGATTTAAGTGAAAAATCTGATTTGATTAATTAACTCTCTCACTCTCTTGTGCGCATACTAGGGGTAAGTTCTCCTTAAGGTTTTCAGAAAAGACCTAGCCAATTCTACTCCAATCAATTTCCACTATTGTGAAGTTTTCATGCTGAAGACTTCACTCTTCTAAACACAT